GTGGGACAGACAACGGCCCATTGCCTCCGCCTGCCTTTTGTCTGTAGAGAAACTTTAGCCGGAGAATAAGTTTAATCAGAGAAATAGTACATGAACAAAGGGAATTAATCAAGCAAAACAAAATAACAACAGTTTAGTCATTAAACAAAGTCAAGAACATTTAGTTCCTCCTTCAGGGCTATAGATAATATTTTTAGCTGTATCCTTTGAGCTGTTTTGTAGATACTGAAACCCTTACCAGGTGGAAGAAGTTAACCACACGATGACCAGACTGTGCCATGACATAAGCTGCCACAATTCCGAGAACCAGCCTCAAAAATGGGAACAAATTGACCCTGGAACTAAAGATTAACTGGGCTCAAAACACAAGATGATGCTGATCAGATCACCTCATGACTAATTTTAAAATGACTGTCAGAGCTGACTATGCTGTTCTGCACGTAGCCCCCTCCGTCTGCCTATGCACCCCTGAAACTCTCCTTTAAAAGCTCTTGCCCCCTGATTTGCAGTGGAGGGAGTTGACCTTTGGATACAAGTCTGCCTTCCTCCCCACCCCACCCCACCGGTTGCTGGCCGCCGGAATAAAGTAAACTTCCTTTCTACCAACATGTGTCTCTCCAGTGCTGACTTTTGAACAGCAAGCAGTGAGACTCGAGTTTCAGTAACACTGGTGGGAATGAAACTGTACGGAAAATAGTTTGGCAGTTTCTTAAAAAGTTAAACATACACATACCATGTGCTTCAGCCATTCACCTCCTAGGTATCTACCCAAGAGAAATAAAAACATATGTCCATATGAAGACTTATACGCATTCATAATAGTTGTATTTGTAATAGCCCAAACCTGGAGACAACTCAAATATCCAACAATACTTTGGATTAACTAACTGCAAGTATTGCTATATGATGGAATACTACATAGCAATAAAAATGACAAATTGATGTACATTAAACATAGATGATTTCAAAATAACTATCCTGAGTGAAAGAAGCCAGGTAATAAAGATTACACACTGATGACTCCATTTATATAAAACTCTAAAGAATGCAAACAGATTTATGATGACAAAAAAGCAGATCAGTGTGCCTGACTGGGCATATATCTAGGAAAAACTCTAATTTGAAAAGATACATGCACCACAGTGTTCACAGCAGCACTATTTACAATAGCCAAGACATGGAAGCAACCTAAATGGAATACTGCTCAGCCATAGAAAAGAATGAAATATGCCATTTGCAACAACATGGATGGACCTAGAGATTATCGTACTAAGCGAAGTAAGTCAAACAAAGGTAAATATCATATGATGTCACTTAAATATAGAATCTAAAAAATAATACAAATGAACTTATTTTCAAAACAGAAACAGATTCACAGAAATAAAAAAGAAACTTATGGTTACCAAAGGGGAAAGCAGGGGAAGGATAAATTGGGAGTTTGGGATAAATAGATACAAACTACTATACATAAAATAGATAAGCAACAAGGTCCTATGTATAGCACTAGGAACTATATTCGATATCTTGCAGCAAAGTATAATGGAAACGTGCCTGGGGAGAGGGATAGGGAAAGGAATGAGGAATTACAGAGGGACATGAAAAACTTTTGGAGATGATGGATATATTCATTATCCTGATTATGATAATTTCACAGGTATATACATAAACCAAAACTTAACAAATTATACACTTTAAATATGTGCAGTCTATTGTATGTCAATTATATCTCAATATAGTTGTTTTCTAAAAACTTTATGGAACTGTAAAAAAAAAGAAAAGTTTGTATTGGAGGAGGAATGTTAAAATGAACAATATTTTTCTCACCTATTTTTGTGTATGTTGGTTTATATAGGGTACCTCAGAGTGAAAGAGTACGAGAGATACTTAATTGTTACTTGACAAATCTTAGTAAACTTTTGGAGCAATATTGTCCAGAAAATGAGAGAGTTAATGACTCCAGTACCTAGGTAAAACATCCTTTTGCAATTCAGGTGTTTTCCAATTCTCTTCTTATAACAAAATTGTAGGAGTACGTATTTGATTGGCAGCTAATAGAAAAAAATTTTTAATGTTTTGATGAGAGATCATGATGTGATTTTTGGCGTTACTCAGAAAAGGTTCATAGAATCGAGTGGCATTACTACAGGAAAAATTCACCTCCATCAACTAGTTTATGTCATCACAAATTCTCAGGGCTCATCACATTTATCAGAATGAAAATTGGTTATTTGACCATAACAATTAAATGGAAAAACTTACAAGCTGACCAAGAAAAATATGTGAGATATTCATAAACATTAAAGTTGAGAAGGAAGGCAAACACAGATGCAGAGGAGGCTTTTAAGCATTTAACAGAATATTACATATGATTTTACTCAAGATTTGAAAATCTTGACAGATGCCTATGTGCTATTCTGGGAAAATGTTGCAATGTTTACCAAAAAAATGCAAGAAAAGGCAAGAGTAATACATATTTAAAAAATTAAAAATACATTCAAGATTTTTTAAAATTAGGATGGAAAGTCAGAGATGGTTACTGGAAGATGAAGATGAAACTTGGCAACTCAATAAATAACGTGGGGTCAACTGGGTATCCGCTGGGAAAAAATAAATCATATTCTCGACCTCAAGTCATTCACAAACATTTATTCGAGGTGAATTAAAGAACAAAACATAAAAAAACCATACTACACAAGTGATCAAAGAAAACAAGGAAATGGATAAATAACCTTGTGTAGGGAAGGTCTGCTGACACAAGACACTAAATACAAAATGCAAAAATTTGACAAAGTACACTCCAAAAGAATTACAAGACTAAATAAACTGGGAGAAAGAACTGCTTGTATATTTGTCTGTATGTCTGTTTGTCTACCTCTGAATGAAACAGGTTGGATTAAAAAATTTATCAAAAAGACAACCCAGTAGTAAAATAAGCAAACACGTAAGAGTGCAAATCCAAATGGCCGATAAACATATGAAAAGATGTTCCATCTCATTAGTGATTGGGAAAATCACATTAAGATAAAAATGAAAGACTTTTTTTCCTTATTGGATGGGCAAAAATTAAAAAGACTGGTGACCTCAAATGTTGGGACAGGAATAGAGAAATGGGTGTTTTCATAAATAGCTGGTGTTTAATTCAGCCCAGAAGATGGCCTCATTTAGTTCAAGGAAAGAAAGAAAATTACCTTTGGATAGCGAGGCTACGCTGTCACGTAGGGTGTGTTGATAAGTGAGGTGGGCAGATAGCAAGAAACAATATGCTAAGGGGAGGCGCAAAATGAAACTTAAAAGACCCCATCACAGATAATCTGCCAGAGTGACTCATAGGAAACAAGCTCTTCTTGTGGGTGTTGAGGGGAACCTCTTGAAAGCACATAGGGGTTTGAAAAACATTGAGTCCGAGAACCACAAGACCTTGAGGGAGGGTTTTCAAACTAATTCTCTTCCCTCAACGCACCCCCAAAACCTGCCCCTGGGGCACGATTCTAGAAAGATCGACATTTCTACCCACCTACCCCTCATTATTGAAAATGTCAGAGAGGATTCCAGCACCCAGAGCTGGCGCCAACATCCACCTCTGAAGTGAGCACAGGCTTGGAATCAGACCCTCTCTGGGCACACAGATCAATGAGACAGAAGAGAGAGCCCAGAAATAAACCCATGCACCTACGGTCAGTGAATCTTCGACAAAGGAGGCAAGAATATACAATGGAGAGAAGACAGTCTCTTCCATAACAGTGTGGAGGGTCCTCAAAAAACTAAAAATAGGGCTACTGCATAATCCAGCAATTCCACTCCTGGGTGTAGATCTGGAAAAAACAAAAAACACTAAATCCAAAAAAAACATGTACCCCAATGTTCATAGCAGCACTATTGACAATAGCCAAGACATGGAAGCAACCCAAGTGCCCATCAGCAGACAAATGGATAAAGAAGATGTGAGATCTATATAGAGAGAGATATGCAATGGAAAAATACTCAGCTGTAAAAAAAAAACAGTGAAATTCTGCCATATGCAGCAACATGGATGGACCTAGAGAGTATTACGCTTAGTGCAGTAAGTCAGACAGAGAAAGATAAATACTGTATGACATCACTTATATGTAGACACTGAAAAATACAACAAACCAGTGAATATAACAAAAAGGAAGCAGACTCACAGGGAACAAACTAGTGCTTACCAGCGGGGAGAGGGACGGGAGGAGGGGTAATATAGGGGTAGAAGCAGAAGGAGGCAGGAAGAGCAGCAAGAGCCTGCAGACCAGCACGCGGGCCTGACACCCATGAAAGGAGAGAGGGAAGGAAGAGCCCCACGCTGACAGGAGGGTCTGAGGAAGGCTCAGCCAGACCAATGGGGGAGCCCCATGCAAGGCTGCCACAGGCAGAAATAGCAGGGCTAGTGGCTCAAGAGCCCTGCCTGCCTGTCATCCTCTGGGAGAGACCGAGCAGGGAGCGTGCTGAAAAAGGGAGTGCGGCCTTGGCATGTGTCGGATCAAAGCTGCAGTGGCTGGAGGTGTGTCAGCTGCACTTGCAGGAGGCTCTCCTGAGGGGAGATCAGAGCAGTGCACCCCCCGGATGCAGCACAAGGCCTCTAGAGCTCCCTGGACAGTTTTCTAGTTCTCAGCCCTAGTTGTCCCAAGACCCTATTGCATCCCAGTACCAAGGGTCCCAGGAGATCCTTCCAGTGACCATGTTTTTATCATGTCCTTTTTTGCTTAAGTTAGCTGGGACAATTTTCAATAACATGCAATCCAAGGAGTTTTGACTAATATCTGCACAAGGATATGTGTTTGAAGATGTTCTCTGAAGTATTGCTTATAAATCTGAACATTAAAAAATAACCCAGACGTAAGGTTGTATGTCTGGATAGGGGTCTGGGTTACACAGGTGTATGCGTTTGTAAAAACTCATCAAATGGTACACTTAAAGACTCATGCATTTTTGGGGTAGGGAAATTTTACCCAAAAAGAATAAAAAATTAGTACACAACAACAAAGTAACCTAGGTGCCCTAGAATAAAAGAGTTGGTTTATTGGTTTTCGAAAGTATTAAGTATTCACACAATGAAATGTTATCCAACAAAGTCTCAAAAATCTCTCAAAGGCTACAGTCACAGTGTAATGTGTATATATGTGTATACACACACACACACACACACACACATACACACACACATTAGAGAAAGATTTTATATATATACAAATGTTTCTAAATACATATAGAGAGAAAGTGATTGATTTCTTATAATAAATTGGCTCACGCAATTATGGAGGCTGGCAAGTCCAAAATCTACAGAGCTGATGTCCCAGTTCTAGTTCCAAGGCCACAAGGGAGGAGAATTCTCTCTTATCCAGGGAAGGATCAGGCTATTATTCTATTCAGGCCTCCAACTGATTGGCTGAGGCCCACCCACATTTGAGAGAGCAATCTGTTTTGCTTAGTCTACCAATTTAAATGTTAATCTCATTCAAAAGCATCTTAACAGAAACATCCAAAATCATTTTTAACCAAACATCCAGGGACCCTGTGACCCAGTCAAGTCAACACATAAAATGAACTATCACAATGTGGTAAATGAAAAGCTAGGATAATAAAACTTTCTGGTCCTAGTGTCATAAAGCCCTGCGTGAATGCACTGTGCTCATACAGAAGACATAGCACAGACATTGTATGTATACGCAGAGACTAAAACTACAAGGAAACAGACTGAGATGTTGAACATGGTTTTGTGACTTGTGAGACTGTCCATGGTTTTTGTTTTCTCCTTCTGTTTGTTTTCCAAGCTCCCCCTGGTTTGAGTAAACCTCCTGTCTCCTATTTGACCTTTGCTTCCTTCTCTGTAAATGGCATAATCCTGGACTCCCACCCAAACGTAAATACAATAGTGAATAGCACAGGACTGGGCACCCAGAAAGTGGCCACCAGACCTTAGCACATGTCCTGTCCTGCCTCCTTTAGGCCAAGGGCAGAGGGAGAATGGCTTTGTCTCATTTTCCCTTGGACCATCTCACATCAAGAAGGGCCAGGACCATCCTGCTATTTAACAAGCAGGGAAGCCACCCCAGGAAGGCAATGCCTGGCCCCAGCCCCCAGCAAACTCTAGAACTCAAGTCACCCTGGAGCTTCCTGACCCCCTGCTCTGTCCTGAGCTACACAAAGGCAGGGAGGTTTTCTGGAAGCCGGGTTGTCTGCCCTAATCTAACCACCACAAACGTACAGAAACACTCTCCCAGCAGCTCACTGAGGACAGCCCGCTGCTGACTTCCCCGGGGACACCAGCAAGTCAGCCCTTCCCAAGGCCTCTCCCTGGCCCGCTGCCCGCCACCCCATGCCCCAGGCTGCCCCACACCTGCTCTGGTTGTTATAGAAGTCAACATTTTCCTAAGAGAATGGCTGCATGGGACATTAAGGAGTGACTTGGTCCTCTCACACTGGCTCCTCTAGGACAGGAGATGGACAGGGCTTGTGTATCCCCGAAAGCCAGAGGCATCCACCTGCCTGACCCCCGGCCATGACTCCCTTCCTCACCGAAGCTTCCCTGACTTTCAGGGAGCCTTGTCTCCATGTCACTACTTTGGTGACACCTCAGCTGGACCCCTCTGCTCCAGATCTCATTAACGATAAACTCTGCAGAACAAAGACAATTTCTGCAGGAACACCTGCGGTGTGGAAGGCACATTCACGACATTAACTCTGACCCTACCCTACAAAATAAGTTGTTTACTCATTTACAGTTGAGGACATGGAGACTCCAAGAGGCAAAGTGACTTTCCCACAATCTCAACTGCCAGGGTACAGATGCTGAAGCCATTCTTGCTGCCTGAGCAGAGAGAGGTGTGTACATCACACAGTATTAGGAAGCCAGAGAAGCCGGCGGGGATGCTACGGCCACGGACAGTGTGGCCAGGAGAGAAGCCCGGACACCCAATGGGCTGCTCCGGTCACAAGTGGACTTTCCATAACCAGTGTGCGGGGAGTGGGAGCAGGATCTGAAAGGATAAAGATACTGGTTGAATTTTCACAAATGGTATACCATCATGCCGTAGTCGTGTGAGTAAAAGATGAACAGCTTTTTGAAAAAGAAAACCAGTGAAAAGATAGGACTGAGCTGATTCTGCAAGTGAAGTTGGGGGTCTCTACTGGCCATGGCAGGAAAGGATCAGGCAGGCAACATCTGCGGACAGGTCACTCTTCCAGCTCATCCTAAACTAGTTCTTGTGATGAGGACAGAAATCAAAGGTCCTCTTAAAGTCCCCCTTCCACGGAGTATGGCCAGTTCCTGGAGCCCGGCCATGGGATGGGATGGTACATAGAATTGTGAAATGATCAGCCCATCAGAGCTGTAGGGTCTGCCGGGCACAGTGCCCTGACACCAGACAGCATGCCCCTCAGCCCCCTGTTCCCAGGGCCCATGACATTGGTGTTTCCTGGTCCTGGGAGCTTTCTAACGAGAGAGCAACAGAAGCCAGGGCCCCAGGCTGAACTCTGGTGGTGAACCCCATCTCACTGCCCTGTCCACCAGCAGCCTGCCCCATCCCAGCTCCTGCCACTCCCAGCAGGAATGGCTGCTTCACTGTCTCTCCCCTGAAATACCGCAGGCTCCAGGAAGGCAGGGCTATCCTGCACACAGACCAGTTTTTACTTGTTGAATCTTCCCACAGCCCACATGCAGGTATCTCCACTTTGCACCCCCAGGCTTATATGCGGATCCCTGAATGAGCTCATTACCACACACAGGTATATCCCTAAGTCAGGCAAGGTCCCAGCTGGACCCTGCTAAGGCCAGTCTAGTCTGGGCATGGTGGCAAACTGGTGTGGTGGGACACCAGAAGACCCGGGAGCCTCAGGGAGAGAACACACTATAAGAAGGGGAAGCCAGGCATACTGAGGCCATGGGCCTAGGGCACCAGGTCCCCTAGGGACAGCAGGAAGACAGGGTGACAGTTCATCCAAGAGACCTAGTCAGACTCCTTAGCTACAAGTAAGAACAGACACAAGGCCTTGTCCCAGCTGAAGCTGGGGAGGGCACCGGAAGCAGCAGGGCCGCCCACGTGGCAGTGGCCAGAGGTGTGGGGAAGTGGGGGACTACATCTGAGCACCCCCAAAGGGCTTGGAGACTTTGCAAAGTTCGTTAAAACTGACTGTGTACTTACTATGTAACAGGGATTGTTCTCAAGTTTGACACGAACTCCCTCATTTAGTCAGAAACTTCAGATGCTGTTGGCCAGAGGAGGTACTGACATGTGAGCCAGTACTGTCCAGGTAACTGCCAGATGCCCTCCCACAGGCTGGAGCAGGCCTGGGGACTTGGTGGGTGGACACACATGGACATACCACCCACTCCTACGTACTCTACCCAGACGCGCTCATCCCAGGCAGAGAAGTGCAGAACCACCCGACACACTCACACTGGTGTACACACTGCTTCACTCATATTCAGAAGCCACATGGAGTATCCTCAGACTCTGCTGTGATGAAAAGTAACCCCAGGAGGCCTCACCTCCCAGGCTGGCAAGATCACCAACCCTAATGCAGCAGGAGCTCTGGGTTCCATTCTGACCACCCCTAGTTGACCTTAGAAAAACCCAGAGGGTCTTAACCTCATCATCCTGGGAAAGCTTAGGGAGAAGCCTAGAGTCAGGACTCTCTTTGCCTCACTCTCCCTACTGCCTCTTTACACACAGATTTCTCAGTGCATCTGTGTTTAAGCCTTGAGGGGCATAAAAGGACCAAAAGGAGGCTGCAGGGATGAGAAAAGGAAGCAGAGACTGAAGTGCACCCTCCTTCATAACCCTTGAAATTCCATTTTGCTCCATTTCCCTAGATATATCAGTCCTTCGCATTTTAGTGTGAATTAGCCTGCTATATTGTTTTCTTCAAGGAGGGGCTCAGCATAACAACCCGGGGCATCCAGAGTGAGATGGTCAGATATGATTAGGGTTGTGAAGGAAGGAAAAGGATGTCTGGAAAACTCCATCTTCTCTGAGAATTACGTGCACTAAGGGCAAGTGCTCTCGGTTCACTCTGCCTTCCCACCCTTACTCTGAAAGAGCACTTCTGTAACGCCTGCCCCAAACTAAGGACACCAGCAGCTAGGCGCACTTCACTTTCAGCTGTTTTTAATGCTCAGATGCTATGTACAAAAAAAAAAATCACAAATGAATCCTCACAACACCCCTGTGAGGTAGGTAGGCAAGTATTATTCTCCCATTTTGCAGATGGGGAAACTGAGGCAGAGAGGTGAAGTGACCGGCCAGTAGTCCCAGCACAGTTGAAAGTCAGGCCAACCATGAGAACAGGAAAGATCCCTCCCAGTTCAGCCCTGATCTCTGACCCCTCATCTAGACCTTGTCTGCAAAGAAATTAAAACTTTTTACTACATGCAGAAATAAAACCAAAAACAACAACAAATCTGAAAAGGTAGTGAATATACATACAGTAGATTTGCAAAATAATTCAGCCAAGATGGTCAAATATTTTCCAATACTAGGTAGATGTCAACAACTCTGGCCCCTTCTCCCCTTTTCAAATATCACGACCAGTGATACATCACCTGCTTTTCTGCACAAGTGCAGGCGTCCAACCAAGAGAGATATCCCTGGCCCCAATGAGCCAAGCCAGGTGGACAGCGTACACACTGTTCAGCCTGTGTTTTGGCAGACACCAGTCCCCAGACAGACAGCCGCAGACTCAACTCAATACCACCTGCCTCTCCTGCCTCTCTGGGCATCCTTCCCATTGTTTACACAAAGCTGGTCCCTGCAGCTGCTAACTCAGCAGTGCTTGGCCCCTTCTGCTCCCACTGGGAGGCAGCTCAAGGATGCTCAGCAAAGATGGCCTGGAATCCAAGTGCCTGCTCACACCATCCTTGGCCCACTCTCTCACATCCCACTGCTCACTCAGGGTCCCCAGTAGTCCCTGGGGCTCCTGTCACAGCAGGTGAGGGCACCAGCCACAGTGGGTGGTGAGGCAGGAAGTGCTGCCCCAGACCCTTCACCCACACTCCTAGGGAAATCAAGCTAGCCTCTTCCACAGGGCTGCATGCAGCTTCTGGAAGCTTCTTCCCCTGAGAAGAACTCCCTTTTGTTCTCAGCTCCTTGGAAACCTCCACAGTCCTGCCAGCCCAGGGGAAGAGGGCAAAGGAAGGAGAAGTAAAGGCTTCTGCCGGACCCACTGGGCACGTGGTTGTTTTTCTCGAAGTCTCCAGGCTGGAGACGGGGCATGAGAAGCAAGAGAACTGGGTAGAGCTGCCTCTAAGGTAACAGATCCACCCCAAGCGCAGTCCACTCCCCCGGGGAGCCAGGGGCCCTGAGGGCAGTGCTCAGGGAGCAAAAGGGGAGAAGCCAAGTGGGAGAGCAGCAGCAGGAGAGAAAGGTACCAGCACTGGCCAGGGCTGCTCCGCGCCGGGGGCCGTCGGGACCGCTCAGGGGGAGAGGAGAGGGCAGGAGTGGCGTGGAGCTTTGTTTGGCAACTCAGAGAGTGAGCTCCTTGCCGGGGAGTGAGCTCCTTGCCAGGTTGATGCCACACCAGGCCTTCCTACGGGCCGTCCACCCACCTGCATTTACAAGATATCACTGTGAGCTAACTGTCCTAGAAAAAGTCGTTCAAAGAAAGGGTCCCCACCCCACCCTAGTCGCTCTGGGAAGCTGAGGAATCGTTTCTCAGGGCCACTCCCAGTGAAGAGCACGGGGCACCCCCAGCCCCCGGGAGGCGGCGCATCCTATAGGAAGTCCCCTGCGGCGGAGGGCTCGGGGCTGTGGCTCTGCTCCTGCCACCGGCAGCGCAGCCGGGAGAAGGGCTGGTCCTCCACGCTCTCGAGCTCGGGGAAGCCCAGCTGGTTGAGGATCTCGTAGACGCCGGCCTTTGCTGCCACCTGGGGAGGACAGCAGAGATAGGGACAGTGTCCTAGGGGAGGGAGGATGTCATTTGGGTCCCCTGCCCCCCTGCACCACGCTGTCCTCCTGTCACTGGATTCTGTGAACACAGGTGAGTCTGGGGCTCAGTGCTGCCTCCCACCAGCTCAGTGACCTGCACAGGTTGCATTTTGATTATATTACGTACTCTGAGCTTCCGTTGCCTTACAATGGGAGGGAAGTCTCCACCTCCCAGCACCAGCGCAGGGGGCTGGCTGCAAAGCACAGAAAGCACTGGGCAGGAAGTAAGTGGAGAGCAGTGCAAAAGGCCAAGCCCACCCTGTGCCTGTGCAGCTCGGATACTCCCCTGGGGACACTCAGGGGCAGAGGCCCAGCTGCTCCAGGCGTTACAGCTAGGGCCCACAGGGAGTGCTGGGGAACACAGCGTGGATGCAGGAGCCGGCAAGAACCCTTTGGCTGTGAGTTTTGGTTGTAGGTCAGGCAGGCCCACCATGGGTTTCAGATCAGGTGGGCTAGCTGGGGCCTACCGGACACTCTCGACACAGCCCTGTGGCCCAGCGGCTGGCTGGTGAGGTCAGCAAGGGCCAGTGTCCCAGCGGAGGGGTAATTACAGGCCACTTTGCCAAGAAGGGAAGGAGATCTTCCTCCTGACCTAGAGGTGCCGAGGCAGCAGCTCTGCCTCTAAAACTAGCCAAGTCAGGTGCAGATTCCAGAAGAGCCAAGCAGAGAGGGATGGAGGAGGAGGCACAAGAGGGCGGCATCTTAGGTCAGACACAGTGGGCTTTGGAGCCAACCAACCTGCTCTCACACTGACCGTGAGCAAGCATTTAACCTCTCTGCGCTCAGTCCCCTCCTCTGCAGAATGGGGGAGTAATGGCCGCCACGTACTGCAGCCCCACGTATACACGCTCCGGCAGACGGCCGGCACGTATCTCATGGGATCCCCACCACAGACTTCCGAGCAGTGCTGACTGTACCAGCGTTATCTCTACCTTAATGCTGAGGACAGCAGGTCAGAGGGGTGAACTGTCTTGCCCAAGGCCACGGCTGGAAGGTGGCAGGGGAAGCTGGAAGGGCCCAGGTGAGGGATGAACACAGCAATGGGCACAAAGCGCACAGGTGACGCTGGCCTCAGGGACGCACGGAAAAGGAGCCCAGACCAGCGCCCGCCCTGTCCTGTCCCCACGCGCCTGTCTCCCCTCCCCTCATTCATTCGCTCACTGCCTGCCAAGCGCGGACCCTGTGCTGGGGACCCACAGCCGAACAAGACAAGATCTCAGCCACAGGGACGCCCCCTGTAGAGAGGGGTAAGAACACTGCCTGTCCCTGTCTGTTCCCGAGGAGGACGCGCAGAGCAGTCTCAGCCTCCCGCCCTCACCTCCCGCATCCAGGTGCTGAACGGCCTCTGCCAGGAGCCAGCCTTCTCCAGGTGGAGGTAAGCGTTGAATAGCACCAGGTAGACGTAGCGCTCCAGGTACTGCAGGCTCCGTAGCTGCAGCCTCCGGGCCTCCTGCTCCGATCTGGCTGCTTTAGCCTGGAGGACGGCACAGGGCGGGGTCAGGGTGCGGGCCCTCCCCTCCCTGGGGCCGCCACCCCATATACACACAATCATACCCCCCACACACATGCCACTCACACAACCACACCCGGTACACACACCCCACACACACAAGCTGCACACATCCCACACACACGCCACTCACACCCCATACACACTCCCAACTCACACCCCACACAATCACATCCCACACCCACACACACAGTCTCACAATCACACACACCACACATACACACCCCACACACAATCACGCTCTCACAATCATACCCCACACACAATCACATTCTCACAATCACACACACACACCCCACACAATCACACCCCACACCCACACACACAGTCTCACAATCACACACACCACACACACACCAAACACACAATCACACCCCACATACTCACAATCATACACACCACACACACACCCCACTCTCACACGCCACACTCACACACTCATACACATACTGCACACACACTCAGACTCACACACTCTCCCACACCACATACACTCGCTCGCTAACACACACACGCACACACACCCCACTGCCCTCTGCACCAGGGCAGGGATGGGAGGAAGCGATTCACACAGCAAGGCCAAGGGGGTCGCCCCTGCCCAGATTATAGGAGAGGCCAACAGGGCATGCTGGCGGCAGGAGTCAGAAACTCACTTCCCACCTGGGAGGTGTGGGCAGGTCACTCAGCCTCCCTGAACCCCCGTTTCCTCATGAAATTATACCCACTGTCCTGCTCTGAGGGGCAACCAGACAAAGACAGGTTGCCACAGCAAAGCTCTGACTATGGGTGCAGCACGGACCCTCCCTGGCAGCCTGGGCTCTACGGCTCCCGCTGCTCATGGCAGTGGGCTCACCTCTGCCTGGGAAAGGGGGACCCCATCTTGGCCTCTGACCGCCGCAGTGGTCCCTACCTGACCTCCTGGCCCATTTCTTAAATGGTTCTGGATCAGAGACAGAAGATGAACACATATGGCACTCAGACCCCGGGCCTCACCCTCTCCAAGGCTGGGGACAGATCACAGAAAGACCCCAGGAGCAGGACCAGGAGGTGCAGGGGCTCAGGTGGGGAAGAGGCGGGGGAGGGGGACATGGGCCTTTCTAACAAGCAACGGCGAGCACCTTCTGGGAGAACAGCGCCAGGCCACAGGCTAGGGAGAAGGGACAGCCAGTGATTAAAGGTCGTTTCCCAGAGACCATCTTTAATTCAGCCAGGCGGTGAGGGCTGGGTGGACTTGGGTGGAGACACCGAGCACCAGATGGGGTGGCACAGAGGTGAGGATGCTGCCAGCAGTTGGGGACTGGGAAGGGGCTGGCTTGGCTGGAACGAGGGGGCAAAGAGACAAACAGGGAACGGGGTTGGCGCCCAATTGTGAAAGCTGCCCGGATGCCCAGGAAGCCCACTCTCTAAGCTGGCTCCCCAACCCTGCTGTGCAGGTGCCTGGGCCCCACCCCAGACTAATCACATGAACCTCTGAGGAGTGGGCCTGGGCATCGGGATTCTGAAAAGTTCCTGGGTGATTCGGAGCCAGGGTTGAGCTCCATGGCTTTAGCACTGGGGAGCCATTGTAGGTTTGAGAGTAGGAGTGACCTGTCAATGGAAGACTCATGGGAGACTAACACTCAGGAGGAAGGGGACTAATACGGGGTCCTCTCCAGTTCTCCTCAGTGTCGGGGTGGGTGAAGAGGACAGAGGACAAGGCCCAGGACATGCAGAGCCAGCTCTCCCCCGTAGGGTGTCCCTGCCCCGACACCTGAGCGCGCTCCTCTAACCCACAAGATATGGACCACTCTCCTGGCGGGGAACCCGGGGAACTGAACACCACATCTCACCTTGCACCCTCCGCCTTTCTCACCGTACCCACCCCCCTCCATCCAGCAGCTCTCTCTGCTCCAGGAAGAGGATGTGGCACAGGGGCCATACCCTCAGGGACCAGAAACATCTGTGGGAGGGACAACCAGACCCCAGGCCTCCAGGACCCAGGAAGGGCGGTCCCCCAACAGCTGGGCCACAGCTGGAGGCAGCCCTCCGGCACAGGCACACGTCAGCCTACGTGTGTCTCCTCCCAGCTGCTTCTGGGGATGGAGGCTGCCCCAGACATGACATGCCCCACAGCCCCAAGAACCAGGAGCTGGAGTGGTCCCCCACCTCCCATTTCTGCCTCGGGTGACTCAGCCCTTGGTGCCTCTGCCGTCTTTGCCCCCAGGGGCACGTGAGTGGACGGGAACTTGCACAGCTGGCCCACCCACACCACCCAGAAACAGCCCTGGGGTCTTGGGGATGGAGCCAGGGGGAAGGTAGACAATGGACAGGACCTGGACGGGTGAGGGGACCACAGCCAATGCTCTGACTCCCTGAGACAGGAGTAGGTTCTGGTCCCAGTTCTGCCATTTAAATTCTCAGCCCCCACATTGTTAGAGGTCAGACTGCTAAGTAAAGTCAGGTATAAGGAAGCATTGTAAACCCTGGAGCCACACAGGTCCAGCCATTCATGGAATGAGAGGGAGAGCCACAGCACCAAGGGGAGCATACACAGGCCCTGCCCGCAGAGATGCTCGTTGTCCAGCAGAGGCAGAAGACTATCGCCAAACACCCAGAGTGGCCAGATCACAGGATGGAGGCAGGGTGGGTAGCTGGACTGGGGGCAGCGTCCAAGAGGAGGAGGTATTTCAGGTGCATTAGGAAGAAGGGGCAGAATGGGAGAAAGGGAGGAATGGGTCAGAGTGAGGTGGGTTCCAGGAGACAGAGGGGGAGGGGCTTGCAGCAGCAGGAGGCCCAGAGCTAGAAAGTCCTGTCCCTACAGACAAAGAGGTCGGTGCAGGCTTCTGGTGGAAGCAAGGCTGGGTACAGCTCCGCCGCTGCTGCTGCAGAAAGAGTGAATGGGGGGGTGGGGCTAGGATGCCTATTGTTTTAAGGATCAACCAACCAAGTGCTCAGAAAAAAGCAATTCTGTTTAGAAACTGGGCAGTGGATTAAAAATATATATATATTTTACCTAAATGCAAACTGTGGCCAATACAACACGATTCTGCCTACCTCTAAGGATGAGTATTTCATGCCGCACAGCACTGGACACTCACCACCCTATTCCTGACACTGCCCCCCAGGCTCTATCCAGAGGCCAGGAGTCTAGTTAAAAACAATTTCTTAGAAAGAAAAGGAAACCACCCACATTTCCACCAGATAAGAGCCATTTTAAACTACTTTCAATGAAATAGCTCAGAAGTAATGTCCTGTGGGCATAAAGAGCCCTCAGTGCTGGGCTTGGCCAGGGGACACAACCACACAGCCCTCTCCTCTCCGTGCCTCTGATCCCGTGGAGACAGAGGCCTGCTGCTGCCAGAGATACCAGGGAGGATTCTGAGGAACATCTGGGGTGGATAGGCTGAGTGATTCCTTCCGAGCCCTTCTGGCAAGGTAGGGTGGAATTATCTCTAAATTCAGACCACTGGGTCAAGGTGACGCCTGACACCGCCCGGAAGGTTCCGTGGGCACATCCTGCCGGACTGCAGTCTGTGATTTGAGACAATGACCCATCTTCCTAGCAAAGCCCCAGTTTCCTTAAAATCACCCCATGTTGGCACAGTCTGGGGTGGAGGACAGGCCAGCCGCCTCCAGTGGATAAAAATAGTGGAGCTGTTTTTGAAGGGCCTGGCAGGCCAGGCTGTCATTAGCTGTGGTGGAGCGGACAAGTCTTCCTCGTCCACTGGGGACTGAGCCCTAAAATAGCCAGGGCCCAGGAAAGGTGAGCAGGGCACTGGGCATTTCAGGCCTCTCAAGCCTCCAGTCTGTCCGGCATCAACGCAGGCCCAGCAGTGCCAGCAGTGGCTTTCTTGAAGCTCTGCTCTTCGCTGGGCCACCTGGGAGGGGCCCATGGAGGCAGGGCTGGAGATGTGTGTCCAGGTGTGTCCAGGCTGTATATGCCGCTGCCAGGCTGAGCACGCCACACACAGATCTGATGATCAGAATCTACTATGCCCTCCCAGCAACCCCGTGAAGGAAGAGGGACATCGCGCTTTGTGATGAGGCTCAGCAAGGTTACAGAGTTCCAAGCAGGGACATGAACTACAAAATCCTGGCTCTCCTACCACCCTAGCCCTCTCTCACCACAGTCAAGTTCAACCATCCGTGCCTGCCTCTTGCTCTGTACTTTTACCCTCTCTCTTCCTGCTGCCTGGAATGCCCTCCCCTCCGCCTGGAATGCCCTCCCCTCCGCCCAGCCTGGCCGAGTTCAGCTTGTCCCTCCAGGCCCAAGACAAGCTCTCACTCTCCTGAGGCTCTGAACCATTCAGCTCAGCCCCGCCCTTCTCAGCCTCCTCTGCTATGAACCAGTTCGTTAACTATTATATTACATTCCATCCTGAGGGTTTCTAATTGCTTCTCCAAGGCATGACTGGTCTCCCCAAGACAGCAATAAGCAAGGGGCAGGCACTAGATTAAAACCAGGTTTCCATCTCTGCCTCCCCTGAGTGTCTGACTAGGACCCGGTGTGCATGCCCGGCTGGTCGGTGGGCACTCACTCCCTAGGGCATCTCACCCTGTCTCATGCCTTCGGTGTTGTTAGAACCTGGATTACAGACCGGACCCTGGGGACTCCCACAAGTGCACCTGCACCTGGGACTCCAGACTCAGACATGTAACCGCTGCTCAGCGCCAAGGTTCAGGCTCCTCTAATTTCAAAACACGCCCCACAGGGAAGTCCGGAGCTCTCCCCAAGCCTGTCCCGCCCACAAGTTTGCCATCTTAGAGGCAACACTAACCTTCCTGCTGCTCAGGCCCAAACCTGACGTTCCTCCTCGACCTCTCCCTTTCTCAGCCCCACATCCAGCGAATCAGGGAATCTCATTGACCTGACTTCAACACACTTTCATGGCCTGGTCAAGCTGCCTCATCTCAGAGACAGGCCTGACTGGCCTTCCCCCACCAACCTCCCCCCATCCCTGCTGTCTGTTCTTACCACAGCACCA